AGGTATGTAACCACCTGGTGCGTTTTGCTTTAAGGTGACTGTCCTGACAGTGGTGCTGACTGACCCGCAGGCAGCTGTGCTTGCAGTGCTGACCTTGTGTCTTCGCTTCTCGAGCCTCGCAGTCAGCGAGAGTTTTTACCGCGGAGAATCTTCAATTTCTTTAATCACCAGGGTTTTATTTGCGAGATGGTCTAAGATCTTACTATTTAACATACTAGCTACAAAATGTCCTCTGATTTCGGCACATAGGCAGATATTTTTAAGTGGCAACTTTGCTTTCCCCATCCCAGGCACAAAGCCACTGTACTGTGAGATTGGTCCCAAGCTGCCTACTTTGAAAGGGACCGAGACGTCATTGTCCTGTGTCCAGTGTTCTTGTATCTTGTCTCTTCTTCAATAAACGTCTCTATTTTTCATGTTACATGGCTGATACCTTCTGGACAGACCTCATATGTTGAAATTCATACATTTTTAAAAGTTTTTGATCAAGAAACAATACTTACACAAATAAAATTATTGATATTGTTTGCCTAAGCATATAGTTAGAAATATCTCCTACAGTCATGATTAAATTGTTAAAAAAAACATTTACCTTCTGGTAATTTTTAAAGTTCTCCTGAAATTGGCTTTAATATTGAAGTAGTGATAACCTGAAAGATGAGTAATGTTTCTAAATTAACCCCAAGCCCCAATATATTGGCCAGTCCTTCAAAATCTAATATGCCTTCTAAAAATAAAATTATAAGTATTTGGGAGTTGGTTAGCCTTTTTATTAAGATTATACTAGAAAACAATGAACTTTATAGGGCTTTGCACTTAATCTTTAGTTTTAATTCATTACTTCAAATGAAATACTCCTAATGAAAGTACTCCAGCCCTTGTTAAGCTTTAGCTAGTGGGGAAACTCCTTCCCCTGCTTATGAGAAATCAGTGATGCTCATATATTTATTGAGCCATTCGTGTTGTGCTTACAGTGCACTGAAATGGACATACAGGATCCATACATTTTTCTTGACCATGAGGAACTTTAGATTTAAAAGGGAATTAAATATAGTCAGTAGACAAAATATTACATAGAACGGACTAAACCACAAAAGCTGCGAAGTGCAGTTTGGGTGGGATTATTGGAAAGGAACAAATATTTGAGCCGTGATGATTTGGTGAATCTGGGCTCTGTAGGAAGCATTCCAGACAGGGAGGAATTAGAGTCCCTTTAGCTACAGGTGCCAGATGAAGGCAAGAGAGTAGTGAAAAATAGTGTTGGGAAAGTAAAATAAAGTCAAACCGTAGAGAAACCTTTTAATAGTATAGGAGTCTGTGGTTTGTTTTGAGAACAGTGATGAGTAGGTTTTGAAGCGGGCAGAGTCATCGTTAGAATCCAGGGGGGACCGGAGTAGGGAAGAGCTGGTTTGGGACAGGGAGTGCGCTGAGCCAGGTCTGACTGGGAGCACAGGCGCAGCATGGGAGTGCAGTGAGGATGGGAGTCTTCCGGATCACCGTTACTTCGCCATGTGTAATGTGGACCCACGTTTTTTGGCCCGAACTTTCAGGAGGAAAAATCTTTTGTTTTAATTTTTAAGTTCAATTTTTATTTATATTTAGAAGCAAAACTTTATTATAGTCTGGGGTATTATTTTGCATACAGATGTTATTACTTTCTAGAGTTATACTTTTAACCCATAAGCATAAATAAACATAAAAAATATTTATATAGGTACAGAACTAAAACTTCCCATGTATAATGCTCACCCTTATTTTTCTCTCAGAAACGATAATGGGCCAAAAAGGGCACAGTATAATACACAGCAAAATGTGGGCTTGGGGAAGAGGCAAAGGTGCATGTCCAGGTGAAGCAAAGACTGGTGATGCCATCAGTAGAAAGAGGAAAGAATAGACAAGAGGGCTGGGAACGGAAATGACGAGCTTAGTTTGGGTGCTGTAGGTAGGCTGCCGAGACGCTGTCCTCAAGTAGGCCAGTGGAGTACAAGGCCAGAACACTCGGAGACTGGGAGCTGGGTGAAGTTTAAGGTTTTTGAGGAAGCCGTGCAAAGACATTTGAAGTTCTGCCATTAGGCAGTGTCGCCAAGAAAAAGACTGTGAAGAGAAAAGAGGACCAAGGACAAATCCATGAGCCCAGCGAATCCTACTAAAGTTACACAGAACTCAGTGCTTCCCTTAGTTGTAGTATTTTTTCCTCTTTAATTTTTACCTTTTTCCACTCCGTTATTTTGTTCTAAAAGACATGTGAAGTGGCACAAAAGTCTCAGTTGGAACTGACACTACAGAGGTTATAACGGTGAGGCATTTGCTGTTGACTTTCATTATTTTTAATAACATTTCTCATTCAAAGACTATTAGATACCTTTTCTATAGATATCATTTCAGTTGATAATGACTTTAAAGGCTTAATTAGCTATGAAGAACTGAAAGGTTGTTTTACTATGTGCTACTTTTTTGAAATTTCTGTGATAAACAGAATATACTCTAGTTTTACTAGTCTGTCCATTTTTCATGACTGTGAGAGTAAATAGGGAGGGGAGAGAGGAGGCGCTGAGGCGTCAGGGACAGAAGGGTTAAGAGACCCAGAAGCGATCTTTGACAGTGTAGGTGACGTGAATGGCCCCATTGAAGGCCTTAGTAATAGTGAGAAGTGAGTGGTGCGGTGGGAGCAGAAAGAAAGATGATCAGCCAAACCCAGATAGAGGTGGGGGCACATTCCAGAGCCAAACTCTCTTGTTTATGTGGTTTGCATTGCTAATCCTAAATTGATTACATCCTACCTGATGACCAAACAGAGGCTCAGCATTTGTAGGTGGTTGTTTTGTTACTTTTTGCAGTCTGGCAGGTTGGAGAAGTAGGATAGCTTTTTTTAATCGAACTAACCAGTACTTAATGGTATTTGCAGACTCCATCCAAAGCCCACTTACCAGGTCGTTTGGCAAATGATCCTGTTAAGGATGGTGTCTACCGGGTGGCCCCAATAAGTCTTATTTATATGACTGCTACTTTCCCAGTTTTGTGCACTTCCTACTTGCCCTACACTGCTTATGATTTTTTCAGTTTTCATATTTTCTTTATGTGCTTGTTCTTCTTGTTCTTTGAGATCTAAAATTCTGAATAGATAATCTACAGGAGAGGGCAAAAGTCGGTTTATAGTTGTATGGAAATTAATAAATTATAGTATAAGAATAAATTGTGTTTCACGTATTCACAACTGTAAACCTACTTTAGCCGACCCCGTATTATAAATAAATGATGTGTTTCTACCACACTATTGTGTTAAATTTCTCTGTATTTTAAGCTCTCCCATGTTTCCCTCTTTGATTGCCCTGACATGTGTCATGGATTATAACTATAGGCATCAGGAACAAAACAGGACATTTAAATGTGAAGACTGAGTCTTTGATCGAAGGCTCGTTTTCTTTCACTGTACCTCCGACCACATATGCCCAGGGCTGTATGTGATGCGGCTCCCTCAGCACCCCCTTGGCAACCCCCACACGAGAGCTCGGACGTACTGTCGTCGACCGCATACAAGTGAATATTGACATTTTTCACTTCTTACAAAATGTTGGCTTTATAAAGTAGGTGTATGTCTTTTCCCAGGGTATGGGGAATATTAATTTGTAATGAATTTTTTAACAGAAATGTGACTTCTAATTTAGGGAAGAGGAATTCATGTTCTTTGATTTTTTTTTTTTTTAGGCTCTAAAGAAAGCTGATAAACAAGTTTTAGAGCCCCTGATGAATCTTGAGGTTACAGTGACTAGAGATCACCTGAGCCCCGTCCTGGCAGACCTGGCACAAAGACGAGGGAACATTCAGGAAATCCAGAGTCGTCAGGACAACCGAGTTGTTATTGGGTTTGTCCCCTTAGCAGAAATGATGGTAGGTACTTCGTGACCGAAAAGTACATATTCTTTTTTTTTTAATATGGGGGATATTTACGCTAAACATAAACGATCAGTGACACCTGAAAAAGAAGCATCAGGGCTTTGACTTGGCAGGTGCATGTTAGATTGCAGTCTTCGGGAACTGTGAGGACTCTGGACTCAGTGGTCGGGGAATCCAGGGCATTGCCGCATCGTGGGGACCACTCCAGTCCTCCACAACAGCAGAGGGTGCTGTACCAAAGTGTGGCGCCGGCCCCATTTTTTCCCTTTCAAGCTCTTACCCTGCTTCTATCATGGCCAGTTTTCAGGCAAGTGTCATTCTCCCCACGAGCCTCTTCTGCTCTAGAACAAGCACCCAGGTGCTGGGAGAGTCCTCTTACCAGCTGCTGGGACCAGGGAACACATATGACATGTACCCACACTACTGTTTTCTGTCCTCACAATATTTCTACATCAGACTTTTCCTGAGGAAAATAATTGAGTGACCCATTTGAAAAAGTGATATGGTTAAGTTACATAATCACTTTTCCTGGTTAATGGTTCAAGGATAAGCAACAGGAAGAGAAACTTGAGGCTTCAATTGGATGAGATAACTGATTTAAATTATTTTGATTAGGGTTATTCAACTGTGCTTCGGACGGTAACATCGGGCTCAGCTACTTTTGCCCTAGAACTATCTAATTATCAAGCCATGAATCCTCAAGACCAAAGTGCCCTGCTCAACCGTAGAAGTGGGCTGACCTAAGTGCTCCTAGGTCCTTGGAGAGAAATTCAGGAGCACCTGCCTGTTCGTTATCAGTAAGGACAATTTTTATTGCTTTATTTATTGGACAAATAAATTGCCATTTGAATACATTCAAGGAACTGAAAGAGGTAACTTAAACCTGACAGTGGCGCTGTGGCTGCCCATTCTGCTTTATGTCATGAGAAGTGTGCTCTGATGTAGAAAGTTAACGTACCTGAACTACACGTGTTTATACGAGGTCCTTCATGTCAGTAAAGACACAGCCCTTTGGAACACATTGAACGATATATTTTGTTGTTGCTTTTTTAAGATATTCTCACAGAAAGTTGCCAGTCTTCTATATATAATGTAGAAGACAGAAGTTCAATCAATTCAAATATATTTTATTCAAAAACAATATACCAAATCTTAATTTACATGATTTCAAACCGAGTCCACGGCAGTGCGTTGCTGCGGGCTTTCCCCTTCTGGTCCAGCTCAGGTGCCACAGTATCCGATGTCAAGAGGCTCCGCAGCTATGCCGCGTCTGCAGAAGGTGAAGCATGAGGGGAAGATTGTTTTAGGTCGCTCTGACTCATCTCCATCTTAAAGAGCTTAGCAGCTTAAGTCAGAATCACCAACTATAGCACTAATTACTGAAAAAAGATTGTTAAAGTAAATCAAAATGGAGATCCAAGTCACACCTAAATTTAGCATAGCTATAAAATGGCTATAAGTTCAAATAGACTTTCTCCTCATAGGTATTACTAATTTTTTTCTAATTAAATCACTGTTTCTTAGGTGACATACATTTGTATTTATAGCAGAAATACCCAAGAAGCTAGTTAACACTGAGGCTAAAAGTCACCCTGGACTCAGTAGTGCCCTGGCTTGCAGAAGAGTCTTACCTGACCATTCTGCAGCGGTGAGCTGTTAGTCTTCTGTAGGCATCGTCTAGATTTCTGATCTTTTTCTGGCTCCAGAGTCTCTCAGCAACAGCACTTGCCCGAGGCCTAAAATTTAAACCACACGTTTCCCAAAGCAGTTTTAATCCATGTTTTCTTAAAGAAGTATCTAAATTATACACTTGGGGAAATTCCTAATGCCTTCTGATTTGGATAGAAAAGGGAAACTAAGGCACCTTCATTCAAATGCCATCACTGAAATTCCATACCATAGTCTCGGAGTGAGGTTAGTTGCATCCACATATTCTCCCCACAGACAAGCTTCTCCACCAAGGACAAGTTGTTTCTGCTGCTGAGAACCTACATTAAAATCATTGCATCAGTGTAAGTGAAGTGATTGTGACTTAAGGCTTATATACAGAGGCAGCACTGGTTTCTCCTGCCACTGTCCCAGGGCAACACTTTCCTCCTGCAGTCAGCAGGGCCCTGGCAGATGTTCGCGGCAGGGGCGCTTCATTCTCACCCCGGCCCTGTGGCTCATACGGTGCTTTTTAGCGTGTGCCGGTATGAAGATACTGGCTTACAAACTGATTCGGTCACCAGAAACTTTTTCCCCCTCTGTGAATAGTGTGCCAGGGAATAAAAATTGGAATACTAGGGACTACCACCCCTGCCTTTAATATCTATATCTCTTGGTAGTAAAAAGAGACTAAGTATCTAATATTTTGTTTTATAGTAATTATGACTTTGATTCTCAGAAAATACTTTCCAGAGAAAGTTAGGTCAATTGCTGATAGACCTACAGTTTAAAAAATTTTTTAAACAGCAAAATTCTTTTTCTCAAAATGTTACATTGAAGTCTGGTATACAAAAAGGGCAGAGTAAAACTGTTCTTTACAAAGAGGGTCTGGGAGCCTGAAGCTCCCTCTGTGCCTGCTCCCCAGAACCTCCAGACCACACAGCTGGAAATCCACTGAACTAGCCTATAGCCTTGCTGAAGTGTCTTACAGTGGAGAGGCAGTTCAGAAGAGGAGATGCAAGGTTAACGTAGTCAAACATCTTTAAAATGCAGAAACAAGACTCACCCCTAAAAATGGAGATAAAAATCTAGGGGGATCTACTTTTCAAGTTCTTTTTTAGGGAAGGATTTGGTTTCTTTCTCAAAGTTTCCAATGATACTGGGGCCCTTCTTTTTAAGTAAACACAAATAAAATCAAGGATTAAACATAAAAGGGAGGCTGGTTAGTAGGTAATAACTAGGTAAGGGTTTCCTTGTGGGAGGGTAGAGAAGAAAATCAGGATAATGCCAGTCGCTTCACTTACCTCTAAAATCAAGAGGTTCCACTTTATAGTATTTCATCCAATCTTGTCCATAAGTGATATAGCCTAAGTACCACGGAGCAGAGAGGATCGCAGGGAAGCCAGCTTTTGTGATTACCTCTAGTTCATTAACATACTTGTCCTCTTTCCATACTTGAATGATAGTGTCTTGCTGAAGCTATTAAAATAAAAAATTACAATATATATTGCTAGGTCTACCAAATACAGTACATGAAATTTAAAGTCCAAGATTTATAACTAGAAAAATAACTTAGATCCTTGAAAAACCACACGCATCATCTTCTTTCCCCTTTCCCCTCAGAGTTAGTGCCAAATACTGTTTCTTATAGCAACTTACAATTAGAAGTTGCATCAGCCTTCAGGTTGGATATCTAACATTTGCCTGTTTAGGACATGATGCAGGTGTAGTGAACAAGGGCTTTGGTCCCGTCTCTACCACACTGTTACGTACTCTGAAACGGTGAGGACGTCACCAGCCCTTCTGGAAAGGGAGCACTAATAGCTGGACTTGCAAATTCTCAGGTGCCCAAAGGAAAATAAAGAATTCTATGTTAGAGAGATGCCATTTAAAGTAACAAGTGTACTTTGGTTATTTTACTTAAAATGACCTTACTAGCAATAAAGACTCATTTGTTCTTATGTGTTTATTTCACCCATTCCTGGAAAAAAGGAACTTACTTCAAAGTACTTATTTGTGATTAATGAGATAGGAGGGGAGTGATGAGAAGGAGGCACTGAAGAGGGAGGTGCATGGAAGAAAAGAAAGACCATTCACACTGGGCTCAGTCCGCAGCTCTTGCCTAATCAAAGTTTAAATGGAAAAGGAAGCTAATTTCCCCAGCATTGGGGGGTGCTTCCTAAGGATTTGTTACATCCAGGATGTTACAATATCAAGCCTCTTAGATTATCAGAATCGAATGCAGTCTTCATACTTCTCACCTTCACATTGTCATCAAAAACCTCTTGCCAGACGATGGATCCTTTCTTTATGGTTGAAATAATATCCAAAAGCCTACCAATGAGAAAAAAATTTAAGTTATTTTGGATCACAAGGTTAACAATCCGCATACTTTCTACCACAGACTGCAGTGGTCTTAAGTACCTTTCAGTACAGCACAGCTTTATCACAGAAACAGCTAAATGTCGGCGGTCAGCCCTGAGGCTCCTTCTTTCTAGGACGTGGCTCAGATGCTGCCACAGCAGAGGGGTTTAATAGTCATTTGCTGAATGAATGAGTCTTTAAGCACGCCCCCAGCACAGGAAGACATGTAAGTCACAGGGCAGTATAGAAACAGCAATCTCTAGTAATTTCATGGGTATCTTAGAATAAAATAAACTATAATCTATTTCATAATGTCACCTAAATAACATTCAACAGTTGCTGACAATTAGTCCACAAGTATTTCCTGATGTTTCGACAATGCCAGGTACTCTGCAGCATAAAAAATTTAGAATGTACCACATGACAAGCTAAATAGGAAGAGGCTGGCGTCTGGGCTTGCCCAGGGCAGGGGTGGGCAAACTACAGCCTGAAGCCTGTTTTCTGTATGGCTCGTGAGCTGAGAATGATTTTCATATTTTGTAAAGTACTGTTTAAAAAATAAAAATGTATAACCAGATGTGGCCCACAAAGCCTTAAATATTCACAATCTGGCCTTTACAGAAAAAAGTTTACTGGTCCTTAGCATACAGCAGCACTGCCCAGTGGAACTTTACGCAGGGATGGAAATGTTTCATACATGTACTTTCCAGTACGGGAGCCCCTAACTAACGTCATCCAGCTACTGAACACTTGAAATGTGGCTGATGTGACCGAGGAACTGAATGTTGAATTTCCCTTTCATTTGAATGCAAACCGCTGCATGTGGCTGTGGCTCTCAGACTGGATGGCACAGGTATACAACATTTTTAAAAGCACCTGTAATTGACACAAGGGACTGAATTACAGGGGCGGATGGTGAGGAAGACCTCCAAGGGTAGCCAGGCTTTCAGCTGCATTCTTAGAGCATGTGACTGCCGTCCCGAATTTTAACAATTACTGCAAAAGGCTTACTTAGCCTTACCATGTTCCTGATTTGAAGAAAGCAGTGGATATTGCTATTGTTTATGTGATTTTTATATACAAAGTATACAACATGTAAACTTTAGCAAGGGGGTAGAGAAAACAAAAAAATAAAATAGTACTAGTAATAGCTAAAACTATTGCAAAAGGCATTCATGAAATAAAAACACAAGTAGGCTTTCAAGTAACTTACTTTTGAATATAGAAAGATTCTAGTTTTCTAAAATCTTTGCCAAAGCCTGTCTGCTTCATGAAATCCTGGATATCTGGATTGGACTCCCTTAAAAAAATAGAACAATGATTAATATTTCATTAGAAGTTTCATATGCCTAACCTGTTTAAGTCAGCATACCTTCTTACCATCATTTGTGCTTAAAACTCTCAAAGTTGCAGCAGTTAAAGTAAGCTTAAAAACTTAGTTATGAGTTATCTTTGTGTTCCATTGCAAATAATTTTTTCCAGAAGCCGACTTTTTGCAAAAATGGCTTTCCCTATCTCCTGCCTCCCTTCTCCACCTAAGGTTATTTGCAGAGATTTTTTTTTAGAAATCTCTCCCACTTACTCGTTGCCTTCTTTCACTAAAGTTGTTCTCATTCAATATTATCTCTTTTTAAATCTCCATTTTCTTCTGTATCTTGATGTACCTGCCTAAAAGCTATTTTACTTTCTTATACCACCCCAAATCCACCACCTCAGGAGTTACATTGTCAAGGTAAAGCTGTGCAAGTAGAGGTATTGCCCCCAATCTTCCCTTTTCATGTGAAGACCTTTTGACCTACTTCAAATGCAATAGTTAAGGGAAATGCAGGTTTTAAACTGTCATACCAACAATCAAATTCCACTTCATCTCCTCCCAAATGAATGAACCAATCTGGAAATACCAAACTAATTTCTTTGAAAAATTTAGACAGGAAGCTGTAAGTTGTATTCAAAATAGGGTTTATAGGTCCAAAAGTCCCAGGCTCATGTTCATTGTAACATGGAGTTAGGAGATCCTTCTGACCTGGAGGAAAACATGAAGATTCTTTTCTTAAAAAGTATTTTGACCACAACGACGTGGCTTAGCATATGATTACACTATTTTATTTTGTTGAAACTGTAAGAGATTTTATACAAAGGAAGATAAGCATGTTGCTATGGTTATTTCTCCCAATTAAGATGAGGGAGAACTGTCTCCTGAACCCAACCCCTGAACCTGTTTCCCTTTCCACCAGCCACTTTGAGATTGTATTCACTTCAAATATTGTCTTGAATATTAATAACTCCCAAATCTTCAGCTTGCCCCAACCCTTTTTTCTTGAACTTCAACCCATATTTCAGATTCCCTGATGAACACAATTAGATATTTTATCTGCACTTCAAACACAATCTAACAAAAGCCAAATTTCCTGTTCCCTAAGCTCCTTCTGTAGCGTCTCCTGGTTTCTGTATAATCTATAGCTCTTTCCTTTCCTCTTGAAGTCAGTTATCAAGTTCTGTGACTTGATGGTATATTCCAAAATGTCATCTCTCACTTCTCTGCATTAGTTCATACTTCTGCCATCACCAGTGTGATCTAGGACTTCAGTTTCTTTTTCCTTCCATTGTGCCAATGTAGGTTTTCCTGAACTGTGGCTCCCTCATGTCACTCCTCAACTCCGTCACGTTCGCTGGTTTCCGTGTCCTGACAAGCCCACATTCCTCCCGCGAGGCCCTCTACACTACTTTCCAGACTTAGTTCCCATTATTCTCCACATCTACTGTAATAATATTTACTGAACAGTTACGTCAGGTGATATTCTGTGCTCTACATTAGTTATTTAGTACTCAAAGAAATATGATAGCTATTGTTAATACAACCCATTCTAGAGATGGGGAAACTGAGGATGAGATACTCTGCAACTTGCTCAAGGCCACTCAGTTTATAAATGGCAGAAGCAGGACTCAGACCCAGGCAGTGTGGACCCAGCAGTCTGGCTCCAGAGCCAGTGCCTAACCACCCCGGAGTGAAAGCCCCTCCCACCCTCCTGCACTGCACTCCAGCCGAATGCCTTTCCTGTCTCGTTCCCTCTGCTGGAAACACAACTCCATTCTTGGGCCTCAGGAAAGCGTTTGAAGTGTTGCCTCATGAAACCATTTCTTAAATTCGCCCAGTATGTTCTACTTGTCATAGTTATTTTTTGTTTCCGTTGTCCCTTGTTTTTATAGTTTAGGCAGTGCACAGACACAGTGACTTGTTCAGACAGACACATAACAGGTACTGAATTATGTTTGTCAATAGTGCTACCTTTTGTGTAAATCACAACTAAGAATAAAATGAGCAAACACCAAGTCATAAAATAAGAGTTGCAGAACCTCAAATGTTCACTTTTGGGAACTCATAAAACACTTACCTTTCCCCCAAGACTGTGTGTGTCCAGGGGTATCAAACTCTGGTAGGACTCGAATCCCCCGTAATCGGGCATATTCAATCACCATACGGACTTCGTTTGGTGTATAAATATGAGAAAAAGAATAGCTTCCCTGGAAAAAGCCACATTGATTAAAATTAAAATGTACGAAATGGATTTGGTCCTGAAAACTGTTAACAGTTCTGTTTGCAGTTTGATATTTCATAGCAGACTTTTCCAGTATCACAATGTATTAAGTACTTCTGTGTGATGTTGGATAACTCATTCAGATTGTTTGCCAGATCTTATCCATAAGCTCTCAGTACACTTTTATTCCACATTTACTGATAGAACTACCTAAATGACAAATGACTTAACTTCTTCATCAAAAAATAACAAATTATAAGAAAAAAATAGATGTGCACAGGTGGGCACCTAAAAGTCAAAAGGGAATTAGTAGATATGGGAACTGACCACAAGTACAGACCTTACTTGCACCCCAATGCAAAAAAAATCAGGGGGTTGTTTTTTTTTTTAAAGAAAAAGGCCTTGGGGAAATGTAAATAGTGATTGGCTATCTGGGTTTTTGTTAATTTTTTTAGCTGCAGTAATGTTTTGTTTTTTAAATAGGACTTTTCACAAATGAGATATGACATCTTGAATTTGCTTCAAAATAAAGGTGGAAGGAAGAATAGGTAACATAAGATTGACCATGTACTGACTATTAAAGCCAGGTGATGGGGACATGGAAACCCATTACATTATTCTACTTCTGTATATGTTTAAAATTTTCCATAATAAAAAGTAAAACAAAACTAAACAAAAACAGCAGTGCTACCAGCATTTCAGCCTATGCTACTTCATAACACTGCAGAAAGCTTTGGAATTATGACCAGAGAGTAAAATTTTGAGTCCTGCTCTACTCCTTTTGAACTGCAACTGTGGACAAGGCACACAGCTTCTCAGTTACCGTCTCGGTATCACAGGGAATTAAAGGGATGACACTGAGGCTCACTCCCAACTCCCCTGGTCCATAGTGCAACAGTTTGAACACTTCTGAGACTACCACTGTTTTCTAAGAAGCTCTCATTTCTAAAATTCCCTAGTTCATGTAGTTTTTCAGAGAGAAAAAGAAATAGTCATTTAGAGAGTTCAAAATAATTGTTTAAAGCAAATACACAGTTGGACTACTTGAGAAATATAATTAACCTTATTTGAATCGTGAATGTGGCAGGTCTCCTACATCCTTAAGGTTTAAAAATTTTATGTATATAGCCTCTACAGACTGTTTACATTTATGATAACAATGATAAAAACAGAACAGTTTTATGGATCTAAAATGCTAAGCCGCAGCCTATTTTTAAAAAAACAAACATTTAAAACCACAAGTATCTAACTTTTACACTTCTATCCATAAGAAGTATTAAAGCTACAGACATCTAGTGCAACTACCAAAAATTTTAGTAGACACACATGAATTACTCACTTTATTGCTTAACTCTGGGAAAGTGATGCTCTGATAGGGGAAAGACTCGTCATCAACTATGTGCCAGTGGAGAACGTTAAACTTATTAAAAGCCATGGCATCCTGCAAAAAACATGTTAAAAAATTATACACCACATAGAACACACAATCCAATTTATGTGTCTCCACTCGGGATTGTTTTCAATGTGTATGCTTCCTTTTAAATTTTTCAGTGAAGAATGTGGAAGAAGTTTTATTCTATACCTTACAGAGTTTACATGGCATGTCACTTTTCAAAAATTCTCTACAGAATTTGTATTCATTCTAGACAGTAAGTTATAACTTTGCTCAACGGGGAAGGAGCAAGCTTATAGTCCCAGTGAGTACTTAGGGGTGGGCCAAGAATGGAAAATAGTTCTTGGCTGCTACTACTATGTTTGGAAATGGAGCAGAGGAAAAATGAGGCATTCGTATAACTACCACGGCTTATAATTCCCACAATTCTGAGATCTGATTGCTAGCCCTTCCTTACAAATAAAGGAAATATAACACAACTTGAGAAATGTGGTACAAATAAAAGAAATGCAATACAATTCCAATCAAAATCCTCAGAAGTTTTTGGGATATTGACATGTTTACTCTGGAATAATTGACAATACAATGTTTATATAAAATACACATAGATTATTCAAAAAGAAAAAATAATAAGGGGGAATATTTGCCCTACAGTGTAATCAAAATTTAAAGCCCCCCTTCTCCTTCATCAGGGCCAAAGGGATTGGCTGATGTGTTTCAGAAATGGCTTACATATGAGGGAACTGTACAAGAAATAAGTGTGTGGAGGGTAATGGCAGGATCTGCATTATCAGAGAAGCGCATTCCTCGTGGCTTTTTACCAGGAGATGGCAAAGGGACAGATAAATATTTTAATTTTGGAGCCATAGGGTTATCACAACTGATCCTGCAGTTGTAAAGCAAGACAATGTATAAAAAAAGATGGACGTGGCTGTATTCCAGTAAAATGTCACTTGCAAAAGTAGGTGACAAGCTGGGTTTTGTCCTTGGGCTGTAGTTTGTCAACCTCTGTGCTATAGTTATTGAGATAAGTGCTGTTTTTTAGGAAATCCAAAAAGAAATACTGAGGGGTATTAGAGCATATTATTTGGAACTTGCATATAGTTTAAGAAAAATATGTTTAAATAAGAGGAAGAATAAGGCAAATATGACACAATTTTTAAATTGAGTTGTCTAGATAAACAGTACATGGGAGTCCTTTGCACTTTCCTTACAATTTCTGTGTGTTTGAATTACTTCAAAAATACAAAGAGAAAGAAATCTTCTAAAGTTATAGGAATTAAAGTCATCTATAGTGGCCCAAGAAGATAAACTGGTACATAGGACAGATTGAGAGTTCAGAAACTGATTCGTGTATTTAAGGAATTTAGTTTTTGCTAGTCATGATATTGAAAGCAGTGGGGAAATTACAGATTGCTCAAAAATGATATTGGGACTACAGGCTAACCTTTGGGGAAAATAATATTAACATAATCACCTACAATGCACTAAATTCTAACTGAATCAAGAACTTAAGAAAAATACAATATTAAAAGGAAATTTGAGAGGCTATTTTTATATTTATACTCTTGTTTTAGAAGCCTTTCTTATCATACCTCCCAAGGTCAAAAACAATAACAGACAAGACTGAAAGATGATCAATTTATAAAATTAAAGCTTTTTAACTTTATAAAAAATTAAACCTTCTACAGGCAAAAGACACTGTATTATAAACATGGTTTAAAAATCAAATTTAGAAAACTTCACAACAATATGTGATGGATAAGAACATCATATAAATATAAGCAAATATAAAAGTATTACTGACACATCTATAAACAAATATAACAGTAAAGAGCTCAAATCAATAAGGAAGAATTAATGTTCTAGAAGACAAAGTGGACATCAAACATAAACTCACAGTTTGCAATGCAAAAAATACAAATAGCTAGTAAGTAAGAGGCTTATTTATATTCACTAAAAAGCAAAGCAATACAAATTAAAACAAGGAAATACTTTATCACCAGGTTAGCAAAGAATATGGCAAAGGTGTGCCGCACTGTTGGCCAGGCCTGCAACGGTGCGGCCTCACTAGCAGGCCGTCTGACAGTTCGCACCAAAGATTAGAAGTGCACAGCTTTAAGCCCAGAGATTCTCGTCTAAGAACTTGTCCTCAGGAAATAATCCTGACAAGTGTGCAAATATAAAAATGTTTCCTCTGAAGTGCTGTTTGTGATAATGATACATTAACCTCGATGTCCATCAGTAGGAGACTGGTTAAATACATATCACAGTACATAAAAAAGAATCTTCAGCTGTTTAAAAAGATGATGTTGGCCTTATATACTGTCATAGAATAATGTCTGTAACAGTCTATTTTAAAAGTAGCAAAAGTATAGTCCCATTTATTTTAAAAGTCATATTTGTTAATATTTCCATTTTTAAGTCTAAATGAGATAAATGGGACATAAAAACTTATGTTCATCTTCGGTGAACTATGGGATACCTCGCTCTTACAACCTGAGGTTCCATATTTCTTTGGAACATTTCCCTAGGTATAAATCAACCCCCAGACTCAATGCCACTATAAAGAAAGTGGAGGTCACAAAATTAAAGGACATTAACTAGAGGTACAGTGACCACGTATTTCTAATCAAAAGTCTAGACCTGTGAATTGACAACTGGAAGTATACAAAGAGGGCCAATGGGAAGTACTAAAACCGTCTTTCTCTTAATTTTGGCGAACCGTTGAGTCCCCTCCTCCCCTTCCCCCATGAAAACAACAGGGTGAGTCCCTAGGGAGCCTCTACTTCTAGCTGAGAAAACACACTTCACGAAGGAGGGAGGGAAGGAGGCCCAGCGCTTATACGAGTACATGAAAAATGAACCCCCCATTCCAACCTGTTTGATAGCCTAAGTAACCAATAGAAGCAACAACATAATAGGACACATCTTCAGAGTACACAGTGGATTAAAATAAAATAATTACGTACCAGAGTTTTAAGAATACTATTAACTGGGAGATAGTGTCTGGCTGTATCAATTAAAATTCCTCTGTGAGGAAACCTTGGAGAATCACTAATGGTGGATTCATTGATGGTGAACTGTAAAACAAAATACGTTTTGATTCATTTTTAAAAGTTTCTCTTAACTTAAGCTTAATAATGACTATATCTGCCTATGTAAGTATTGGATTAAAAAAGATTAATTTAGAACAAAAAAAGTGAAATTTATATTTACCATCTAAGATAAATATTTGGGGAGAAGAAACCTTCAGGAAGCAATAAACAGCTAAAAAGCATGCATTTTTCTTGTAGCAATATGTCTGTCTAAAAATGTTAGTAACATGATAATCATACTTACAGCCCCATAAGGATCTTGATAAATTAACTGGCTGAAGGTCTCTAGACCTAGGGAAAGTAAAATGTATAATTTATTGCATAATTCATAAAACAAATTGAAACATTAAAAGTTGTACTATCCAAACAGAACCATAACCAGGTAAGGCAAATGAAATTAAACATAGTGTTATACCCTTACTCTCTAACATATTTTCCAAAGCTAAAGCTCAGTTTTCAAAAAAACCTCTGTTGCTACTAATAAAAATGCTTTATTTTATTGTTCCCGTGGCCTGTGTTTTGTTTGAATGATGAACATAAAAAAGAATATTTAATAAAACAAAAAACCAGTTCCTAATACATTTATAACATTATGACTAAGACTTTTTATGATAAAATATTATAGAAACTTGAGAAGGTACCTACACTTAAAGAAGGCAGAAAGGCTCAAAGAGCCACCATGAAACTACAATAAAGGCCCCACCTACAATGTTTTACTCGTAGCCACAAAAATTATCTCCTGAACATTTTTTTACTCAAGTGATTATTTCTTTAATACAATATATTACAGGACAGTTCCTCTAACTGGCCTTGAGTTTACTAAAATTTACCATTCTAGTTAACAACTATATAGCCAGGGAAAAGTTTAACCTAAGAATAGTTCAAAGTTAGAAATGAGAGGGGAGGTGTTAAAACTGACACCATTAAGAGACTACTATGAACAATTATATGCCAACAAATTTGACAATTTTTAAAAAAATGGATAAATTCTTAGAAATGTACAACCTATCAGGACTAAAATTATGAAGAAATAGAAAATATGAACAGACTGATTACTAGGAAGGAGTTTATATCAATAATGAAAAACCTCTCAACAAATAAAAGTCCAGGACCATATGGCTTCACTGGTGAATTCTACCAAACATTTAAAGAAAAATTAATGCTAAACACTCTCAAATCTCCCACAGAATATAAGAGGACAAAACACTTCCAAGGCCTCATTTTACAAGGCCAGCATTATCGTGATACCAAAATCAGACAAGCACACAAGAAAAAAATATTACAGGCCAATGTCCCTGATGAACACAGGTACAAAAATCCTCAACCAAATTCTCAAAGATTAGCAAACCAGATTCAATAAAACATTAAAAGGGCTACACAGCATGAGTGGAAGTTATTCCCCAAATGCACAGATAGTTCAACATCCACAAATCACTCCGTGTAACACATCCCATTAAGGACATTAAAGTGAAGGACAAAATCATGATCGTCTCAATGGATGCCCCAAGAGCAGCTGAAAAAAATTCAACATCCATTTATGACAAAAACTCTCAACAAAGTAGGTATAGAGTGAACATGCCTCAACATAATAATGGCCATTTGTGACAAATTCAGTAAAATTAATGGATATAAAAATCAATGTATAAAAATTTAATTTCTACACAGAAATGACCAGTTATCAGAGAAATTAAGGAAACAGTCCCATCAAGAAGAATAAAATAACCAAAGAATAAGGTTAACCAAGGAGCTAAAAGACCTCTACACTGAAAATGATGTTGATGAAAGAAATTAAACACAAATAAATGGAAAGTTATTCCATGTTCATGGATTGGAAAAATTAGTATCATTAAAATGTTAAATCTTCTCAAAGCCATCTACATATTCAATGCAATCCCTTATCAAAGTTCCAATGGCATTTTTCACAGAAATAGAACAAACAATCCTGTAATTTGTATGCAACCACAAAACACCTCAAATAGCCAAAGCAATCTTGAGAAAGATGAACAAGGCATCACACTCTCTAATTTTATACTATATTACAAAGCTATAGTCATCAAAACAGTTTGGTATTAGCATTAAAACAGAGAGACAGATCAGTAGACCAGAATAGAGAGCCCAGAAGTAGAAGCACACATGTACGGTCAATTAATTTACAGCAGAGGTAAGAATACACAATGGGAAAAGGACAGTCTCTTCAGTAAGTGGTGCTGGGAAAACTGGACAGTCACATGCAAAACAATGACACTGGACTGCTATCTAATACCACACACAAAGTTAATTCAAAGTGGATTAAAGCCCTGAATGAAAGACCTGCAACGATAAAAATCCCAGAAAAAACATAGGAAGGTACGCTCCTTGCCATGGGCCTTGGCCATGATCTTTTTGGATTGAAACTAAAAGCAAAGGCAATGAAAGCAAAAATAAACAAATGGAACTAAATCAAATTTATAAAACTTCAAAGCAGACCTCTCCAAAATGTGCCACTGTGGCACATGAATTACTCTGAGCTGAAGATAATCAAGACCCTGCAGGCCCATGAGAAATTTTTGCCTTTCCTTAAAGAATTTAGATTAGGGGCTTTGCCCATAAGAATTTTTTACCAAAACTAACCTTTCTTGACCTATCTGTATGGCAGGGAAACATAATTAGTGAACAGCTATTCTTATCACTCTGCAATGACCTTCCTCCCCTCTGAAGCCCCAAGACACTTTAGCTCAGAATGTCACATGTACCTCCTTTTACCTATCTCCGAACCTCTCATGCACATGGGCTCTGACTCTCATGTGTGTTGGCTTCCTGTGAATACATATGTGATTAAGTTTGGTTATTTTCTCTTGTTAATCTGTCTCATGTTGATTTCATTTTACACCAGCTGAAAGAAACTAGGAGTAGAAGAAATTTTCTCCATTCCCACATAAAACCATCAACAAAATGAAAAGGCAACTTACCAAATGGAAGAAAATATTTGCAAATCATATATCTGATAAGGGGTTAATTTGCAAAGTATGTTACGAACACAACTCAATGGCCAAAAAAGAAGTCTGATTAAAAAACAGGCAGATGATCTGAACAGACATTTTTTTTTAAAAAAAGACATACAGACAGACAACGGGTGCATTAAAAGGTACTCAGCATTAATCACTAGGGAAATATAAACCAACCCCATAGTGAAATATCACCTCATAACTGTTAGAATGGCTATTGCCAAAAAGAAAAAAACAAGTGTTAGCAAGGATGTAGAGTAAAGGGAACCCTTGTGCATTCTTGGTAGGAATATAAATTGGTGCAGCCACTATGGAAAACTGGATGGATGTTTCTCAAAAAATTAAAAACAGTGCTACCATATGATCCGGCAGTTCTATATCAGGTATTTATCTGAAGAAAATGAAAACACTAATTCAAAAAGACATGTCCTCCCCACCACCATGTTCACAGCAGCATTATTTATAACTGCCAAGACATAGAAACACCTCCATCCATGGATAAATGGATAAATGGGACACACAGGAATACTATTCAGCCATAAAATAAGGAAAATTTTGCCATCTGCAACTTGGATAGACCTTTAGGGCACTGTGCGAAGTGAAATAAGTCGGACGGATGAATGACCGTGTCTCACTTAGATGTGGAATCTTAACCAAAACCGAGCACCGAGCTCACAGATACAAAGAACGGACTGGTGGTGGCCAGAGGCGGGGAGGGGGGTGAAATGGGTAAAAGGGTCCAAGGTACAATCTGCCAGTTATAAAATAAATCAAGTTCCTTGGGATATAATGTATAATACTGTGTTGCATATTTGAAAGTTGCTGAGAGAGTAGATCTTAAAAGTTTCATAACAAATAAAATTTTTGTAACTATATAAGGTGGTGTCTGTTAACTGGACTTACTGTGATCATTTCACAAAATATACAAATATCGAATCATTATGTTTTATACCTAAAATATAATGTTACATGTCAAATTATACCTTCAAAAAATTAGGAAATGAGAAGAAAAAGAAACTCAGTCATTTGTGCTATCGCTTCCTTCCTAAATATAGGCTCATACAGGGAAGCCAAACTTTGGAATTTTCTGGTTAAGTAGCAATTCACTCAAGTGCCATTTAAAGCTGTTACTTTGAATGCCTAATGGCAAACAGAAGAGCAGGACGTGGGCTAGAATCTGGTCACTGAACGTTCTCGAAAGCCCTTTCCTTTGTTGTGGATCAGCACAAACATCAGTAAAGCTCCCTCTTCTTTAGCAGACCCCACACGAAACAGGCCAGTCAGACTATATATCAATGATCTAGATGGTCACGACTGCAGTTAGGTTTGTAGTAAACATCTGTTGATATTTTCACGTTCTACTTTGAAACAGGATTATAATCATGCCATTTTTATTATGACCATAAAACGTGATGAGGACTGTATTTGAGAGACTGCTCAACCTGCGTCAAGCCCAAAGCCGCCCTCTTTTTTAACTGCAGTGCCATAATTTTGGTTGGTTAGCTCACATTAAAGAAAATTATCCTTTTTTAAAACCCTACCATTTGGAAGTCAGTACAACAATGTCTTACTAAAAAGAGGTACAAGAAGCTTTTGTGCGGCAAAAGTAAATGACCCAAAGCCTAAACTTTGAAGTTCAGACTGTAAAATTCACAGGAAAAGCAATTAAGGCTTCTTCCCGCCCACTGCTTACAGAGTGTTCCAACCACCCTTTATCCTTTCACACTGTTCCTTTAACCTCGGTCACGTTTCTGAATCCACAGGAATCTGAAACAGGGGACAGCGCCTCTCCCTTCTCTGTCACGGTGTGACGGTTCACTCTTCCTTACCGAGTTTTCCCACCCAGAGAGAGGCAGAACTGTCCTGTTCCTCAGTGCATTCCGATGGAAACTGGTAGTAAGACCCAGTACGACCCCAAGGGTGACGTCAGAGAATGACCGAGCAGAGCCTCTCTGGCACCTCACACGAAGTGGCCCATGTGTTTGTGCTGAGTCAGGGTCATCAGTGTCTTTCCATGTCAAGCTGAAAACATTGCCGCTACATGGACAGCTGGACATGGTGTTTTTTGGGGAAACGGTTTTTCTCTTGTTTGCTACTGCACTGGTAGGATGGCTCAGTAATAAGTTGGAAGAACTTTTTATTTTAATAAACAACCATAAATAAATAAAGAAATAAGAAATAGAAAAAGAGAAGGAAGGGAGGGAGGTAGGATGGGAGGGAAAGAAAAGAAAAGAAAAAAGAAAAGAAAGAAAAAGAAAATGGGGGGGTGGTGATGCTTGGTATTGAAGGCAGCAAGAAGTGCCAGAGAAACAAAACCCCCTTAATCAGGGTGGCTGGGGCCATTTGTAACTGGAGCGTTGCAGTTCCAAGAGCATCAGTTAATTATAGCGCTGAATGTAATAGCCCTCACGCATTTCTAAAAGGTCAAATGGAAATCATTTTGGAAATGCCCAATATACCATTCTGTGAAGTGTTTAAGGAAGCAAAGCTTTGCTGTGCTGGATTTCCCAAAGCAGCAACTGAAAATATTTCTTTACCAAAAAATAACAATAAACTACATAATCTTACCTCGTAATGCTCCCCAGACTCTGTTGGCCTTGAGGAAAGCCATTGGTCCCTTCACAAGTAAAGTATCTATATGGGGAGAAAAATGTGTTAATCCCTCACTGACACATGGTAAGTTCCCAAACACGCCATAGGTATTGCTGGACTGTTCTTTTCTGAGCTCCAGACCTGTTTTCCCCGCTGCCTGCCGCACATCGCTTAGCTGTCCCACAGATTCCTTTTACTCCACGCGCCCAAAACTGAACTCTTCCCCCCCTTGCCTGCTTCACACACTTCACCTGCCCGTCTCCTCTGCTGTACGTCTGAGTCACAGCACCACCCTCTAGCCAGCTGAGTCGTTCAAGTCAGGAACCTGGGCTTTATCTCCGTGATGCCTTCCCCACCCCAGGACAGTTACTGTCTCCAACTGCCCCTCAATACAGTACGGTCATAGTGAAGCTGAGGTTTCCTTCGTGAAGCCGCTGGGGTCACTCAAATCTTCCCGTCCCTGTGGCCGGGGACTTACCTCTGCTCTTCCCTCCTTCTGTGCTTCCCACTTTCTCTACACCTGCCTTTCCCAAATATCACCCTGGATCTTCCTGTAGACTCACTTCTTAACTCACTTTAGCTTAATTCAACTTTGTCCCACTCAGTAAAAAGTTCGCACTCATCTAGGGGCTCCGGTTGGCTGCTACCAGGCAAAGGGGGTGCTAAATATTTCAGTCCTTGAATCATACTCTGCCTAAGGTGGTCCCCAATAGTCATCTTTAGTCTTACACTTGGGGTGGAGTCAACCACAGACCAAGTAAAAAGCACCATTCAGCACAGAGAGACTGAAAACGCAAGGGCCACTGATGCAGCCTGGGCCACAGTAAGGACACTCAAGGGCTGCAGGTTAATGATTTAATCCTGTATCTGGGCTGTACCTTCCACCTCCACCACCACCCAGAAAATCACGGGATTGTTGGCTGCAGGTTGGGAAAGAGTTCTATCAACAGCCAACAGTCATGTGACCCCTTCGTCTGGCAGACTCCTGACAAGGCAGCCTTTCCATCGGAAGATCGGGGATGAGTGAGCGGGGAGCCCGGCTGAGAGCAGCACTGCTCTGACGACTGCACTGCGAACACGGCACCTCTCTGTCAGAGTCACATCTGTGCTGCCTGGCACCCACAGGCCCTCAGTCACTGCTGAGAATCATGTTTTTGCCATGTTACAGTTTTGAGACCTCCCAGAAACGGCACAGTCATCTAAAAACATTAACGTGTTGCATGTGCTTGATGCCAATTATTTTCCAGTGAACTGAGGATTGGCTGATATTAAAAAGGACTTTGACTCAACTCAATGAAAAAACCACAAATATAAAGCAGTTGGAAGGAGATTTTGTTCTCTAAATAAATAAACACACAGGCTAGAGAATTTCCTCTTTTATTTCAAAACCAAATTATTAGTGTTAACAGTGATTACCTCCCTGACCTGAAATGGGAGTGGCATCTCTGACTTCAGCTATCGCTTTCCCGCCTTTTGCACCATACTTTGTTTTAAAGGGTGTACATACAAGTAACATCAATATATTCTCCTTTAAGAACTATGAAATATTACGGATCTCCTTTGAGATGGCCACTCAGCTCCCTTTCCTGTCCTTCAAACGTTTATCAGGCCTTTCCTAGGCACTTTCATACGCACATGTGTGTAGCAGGAAAATACCGTTGTTGTTTTACATCATGTCCCTGTGGATGTATAAATACATGTATTTCATTGAACATCCTTGATATATGCCATTATTTCTCTACAGTAGAAACTAGTGCGCTTTTGGTTTTGAGGGCATGCAATTTTTACAATTCTTATTTAGAAGATAAATGCTGGTGTAGCTCAGTCAATTGAGCGTGGGCCTGCAAACCAAGGGATCGATTCCCAGTCAGGGCACATGCCTGGGTTGCGGGCAAGTTCCCAGCAGGGGACACACAAGAGGCAGCCATATATTGATATTTCTCTCCCTCTCTCCTTCCCTTCCCCTCTAAAGATATATAAATAAAATCTTTTTTTAAAAAAAGAAGATAATGTTGTAGCATTTGTTGCTCCCCTTGACATTTCCTCACACTCTGGAACAACAGTTGCTATTTTGTTATTTCCATTTGTTCGTGTTACTTTTATCGTCATCATCATCATCAGTTTGTTTGAAACTTAAAGCTAGTTTATCCTTCCATGTGGAAATTTCACAATCAACTTGTCTTAAGAAACTTCCTTTCAGAATAAAAAGCGTTAGCAAAGCTGAGTCAAAGATAAACTATAACTCTCTCTTTTCTGGAATGTATAGTATGTCATTGCATTGCCAACGGTCAGCAAAGATTCCTTGACCACGTAATGGCCACTTTATCTTCATTCAGGTCGCAAGACCTACCCATACAGTGTGTGAGTGCCGACTGCCATGAAGTCACATGGCCAGTGTCGGCAAAGGATCCTGCTTCTCTTCCAGGCATGGCGCTGAAGGAAAATGAAGTTATTTTTTCAAAGAGATGTACTATTGAGAAATCTCATCTATGCCAAGAGGATAAGGAAGTGTCCTTCCCTGTCTGTGGGCTGTCGAAGGACAAAGGCCCCACTCTGTTCTCGTGCACATCGTCCTCCCTGTTGTCCCTGCGGCTCACCAGTCAGCTCTCTGTGCTCCTCCGTATCGCCCATGTCCTCATGGTGCTCCTCTCTGATCCCCTGGTTCAGCTCACCGTCGTTCCCAGTCAGTACACCCCATGGAAAAGGCCTGCCCAATTCTTTATTCCTCCCAGAGCATTAGGGAAGAGCCTTAGAAAATGTTTGAGGCAACAAAAAAATCATGTAGCTAAATCTCGATTATATTACTGAGCAAGTGAAATAGCTGCCCCACCTCGAGTTCTGCAATATCTTTGTCAGATTAGAGTATAAGTAGAGATCATGCATGTAAGCACAGATATGTCATCAAAATAAAAGTTAAGAAATTACCTAGATGTTCAAAAATAAGAGATTAGCCAAGTTAGTTATGGCATATCCAGGCAAAAATATTTAGTGAGATACATGTTCATAATGTGCAACATTATTATTTTAAAAACACAAAATACAAAACCATGCATACAGAATTAGCCCCATTTTCATGTTATCATGCTTATATTTATATATATGTAAAATATTTAAACATATTGCTCTTTTTAAAAATCTGAAATAACCAGTGTTGGGGGCTGGGATAAGCCTGAAACAGGCTGATACAATCCGACCTGAAGGTTGCGCCTGAATAACAGGATGCTGCGGTTAGGAGCCATAGAACCTCCCCTCCTGGACATGCGGGTGGCACACCAATCAGTGCCTTGATCACGCGCCCGCCATGCACCCCCCGGCCAATCACAGGCTAGAGCACGCCTTGAAGCCACCTATCCACTGCACTTCCTCCACTGCCCTCCTCTATATAACTCCCTCCATTTTGAAATAAAATTTGCAGCTTGATCAGAATCCTTTGTCTTGCTGCCATTCTTCACGCCTCCTGTCCCATCCCCCTTCATCCGTTACAGGTATATTGGCGGACCCCGTTGACTGCCTCGCAGGCCGAGGCAACTGGCGCCCAACGTGCGGCCCCGCTGTTCGCCTGTGCGGACCGCTGTCCCCTTCGATCGCAGCGTTTTCGCCTGGCTCACGCGACTACTCGGCCGCGCACCGGTATTCCCTGACGACCCCCGTTCCCCGACAGCGGCATTTCAACGGTAAGACCCAGCCATGGGACAGGCATGCTCACAACATGATTTGTTCGTTGCTCAATTAAAAGAGTCTCCCAAGGTGCGCAAGATAAGAGTTCGTAAAAAAGATTTGAATTCCTTTTTCACTTTCGTTTTTAAAATCTGCCCATGGTTTCCTCAGGAGGGTAGCATTGACTCCCGCGTCTGGCGCCGTGTAGGCGACTGTCTAAGTGACTATTATAAGGTTTTTGGCCCCGAGACTATCCCTATAACTGCCTTTAACTATTATAACCTCATAACAGACATCCTTAAAAACCACAATAATTCCCCTGACATACAGCGCCTTCGCAAAGAAGGGCAAGAAATTCTCCGCAGTCACTCCCCGGCCCCCTGCAAAGCCCCCTCAGTCCACGGCCTTCCCGACGTTCGTGCTGACTCGCTTTCGCGACCCCCCTCACGAGCGCCTTCAAACTGTCCTTCTGTTTCCATCCAAATAGATACAGACCCTCAAGTCCCTTCTCTGTACCCTCCCCTTCAGGAGTTCTATTCCTCTGCTCCACCCCCCGATTCCCGGGACCCCGGTGACCAGTTAGACCCCTCTGAACAGGCAGAATTAGAGGACGAGGCCGCTCGCTACAATAATCCTGACTGGCCACCACTCGTGGCGCAGTCCTTCCGCCATTCAAACCGCCTCCTTATCGTACCTCTCACGCACCCGCCGCCGCCATTTTGCCTTCAGCGCATGGCGCGTCCGCCATTTCGCCCGCGGCGTGCAAGGCACCCAGTACCTTGCCCTTGGCGGCCACCACCGCATTCACTCCGCTTCCAAAGACTTTCCTTCAGGAAACCCTCAGCATACCCTTTAGAGTTCAGCCTATGCTCTTTTACTCCTCCCCTTGTATCTATAAAGGTTCACAAAATAATTCTTTAGATATTTCTGTTGGTTTCGCCAGCTTTACCAATTGTAGCCACACGCTTAATTACAGCACATCCTCTGTCCTGGCCCAGGGCGAGCATTTGTGTGTGGTAATAATCTAGCCTTTACCGCCTTGCCCGCCAATTGGACAGGGCTATGTGCCCTAGCTGCCTTATTACCTGACATAGACATCATCCCAGGAGATGAGCCTGTTCCCGTCCCTGCTTTTGACCACTTTGCAGGACGACACAAAAGAGCCTTAGCTGTTATTCCCCTGCTTGTTGGTCTAGGAGTCTCTGGAGCGGTAGCTACCGGAACTGCAGGATTAGGAGTCGCAATTCACTCCTATACAAAACTTTCCAAACAACTTGTCGATGATGTCCAAGCCTTATCAAATACTATTACTGACATTCAAGACCAATTAGATTCCCTAGCAGAAGTAGTCCTACAGAATAGACGAGGTCTAGACTTACTCACAGCAGAGCAGGGAGGTATCTGTTTAGCTTTACAGGAACGATGCTGCTTTTATGCCAACAAGTCAGGCATTGTACGGGACAAGATCAAGACCCTTCAAGAAGACCTGGAAAAACAGCGAAAAGCTCTGACTGAGAGCCCTTTCCTTACAGCCTTCAACGGACTGCTCCCCTTTCTTCTCCCTCTCCTCCGGCCTTTAATAGCTATCATTCTTTTCCTGACCTTTGCTCCCTGGGTTCTCAGGCGCACCACAAACCTCATCCGAGACCAACTTAACTCCCTTCTTGGCAAACCTATCCAGATACATTATCACCAGCTAGAAATGAATGAACCTGGCACTGACTCGCAGCGTTTTCTCCGAGAATGTCCTCGCGCATAAACTCCCTTTTACACCCCCACCTCCTATGGGAACAGTATAACTCTTGGCATTATACTTTACATATGAATTGTAATGGATACCGCTAGGTGCAGAGCAAAGCATCGCAAGGAGAAGCTACCCCGAAGGTGGCCCTGCCATGTCTCCTGAGAGGCAAGTCGGCTTGCATAGAGGTCAGCGCCCCAACCCTCTCCTCCGAAAAGGGTGCTTCAGAGCTCAAGACGAGCTCCGGAGGAGCCAGACCTCTGCCTCCCCTAGCCGGTTAATGTCCACTCCTCACCTTAAAAATAAAAATAAGGGAGGAGATGTTGGGGGCTGGGATAAGCCTGAAACAGGCTGATACAATCCGACCTGAAGGTTGCGCCTGAATAACAGGATGCTGCGGTTAGGAGCCATAGAACCTCCCCTCCTGGACATGCGGGTGGCACACCAATCAGTGCCTTGATCACGCGCCCGCCATGCACCCCCCGGCCAATCACAGGCTAGAGCACGCCTTGAAGCCACCTATCCACTGCACTTCCTCCACTGCCCTCCTCTATATAACTCCCTCCATTTTGAAATAAAATTTGCAGCTTGATCAGAATCCTTTGTCTTGCTGCCATTCTTCGCGCCTCCTGTCCCATCCCCCTTCATCTGTTACAGGTATATCGGCGGACCCCGTTGACTGCCTCGCGGGCCGAGGCAAACCAGGGTTAACCAAGTGCTAGAATAATGAGTGATTTATTTCCCCCCTCTCCACTTACTGTGCCTTTACCATCAGAATTTAATGGTAATTTAAAAAACAGGAACTAAAAACTCACTAGCCGAAAACTTACAACAGTTCACGGCACGGAGACTGCTTTTGGCACTTAAGTCTGCAACAGCTTTTGATATGATACGTTCGCATCACATAGGTACTCACAGGACTCATCTGAAGAGATGTTGGGGAACGTGTCGCACTCTGAGTCGAGGACCACTGAGACGAGAAGCTGCTGTAAGTCCGTTTTAACAAGAGATTTGGCGGGGCGATGATGCCGCTCGTGGGAACCAAAAATACAGTCATAATATCTGTGTGAGAAATGAATTTAAACAAATTTTAAACCACTGCAGCCAAGTTTCAGATATGTATGTGGTGGCAGACATTGTAGTTGACCCCTCAAATCCATGCTTCCCCAAATTATTAGTCCAACTGCACCCCAGTTGGACTAAGATGCAGTCTCACCCCAAACTGCACGTTAGAATCGCCTAGGGAGCTTTTTTAAAGTACTGATGTCTGGACCTTCGGAACCAGAATCTTGGACAGTAGGATCCAGGCATGGGAGTTTTCAAAGTTACCCCCACGCTCCCAAGTGACTCACATGAAGTCCCCGATAAGAACCACCAGTCTAACCAATGAAGGTAACCCCGATCACTCCTGAGTGTACAAGCCCATTCTGACCAGTGATGGGGTGGGGGTGGGAATGTAGGAGGAAGTTTCGTAAGTGAACCAACCACAAGGAGAAAACTTTCTGTGCTGTGACACCTGGACCAGCTGCACCCACACCAAAGAGGGCTGAGCAGAGATGGAAGGAATACCAATTTCTTACTCATCCCATTGTGCCACTTAGTCAACTAGTCCTGAAATCCTCCCTGCTTTGGGACTTCCTGTTATGTAGAGATAATAGATTTGCTTATTGTTAAGGCAGATTCAGCCACGATTCCTGTATTCTTCCAACAAAAGCATCCTAGCTAATACATATACCTCCATGTAATGTTGCCAGACCGCAGATTTCTCACTAGGGCCTTGAAAGCAGTCGTTTAAATAATATTGTATAGATGTTGATTAGCCAGAGGCTGTGTGCGCTACCTATGTGTAAGAACGTCTTGTGTTTTTCCACATGAGTAAGGAGACAGAGGCACATTCCAGTGAGTTTGGAAGTGAAGGGGAGTTCACCAGTGGGGGTGGCTGGAGGAAGGTGCCGAGGGCCCTTTTCACACAAAAACCTCCACAGACTCAAAAGGAAACCAGGATCACTGAACTAGATTACACTTAAAAACGATTAAGATGGTTAATCGTAGGTGTCTTTTACCACATTAGGTCCTGGCTTGTCCCAAGTAAGGAAAATCTTGGCCCAGGGTCATTAAAATCCTAAAGCAAACCCAGAGGGTTCTGAGGCAGTCATGTCCAAGGTACAGGCATACCCCGTTTCACTGTGCTTCATGGATGCCGTGTTTTTTACAAATTGAATGCAAGACCTTCCACCAGCATGAGGATTACAACTCACTGTATTGCAAGGCTTGCTTTATTTCTGTGGCTGGAACTAAACCCGCAGTATCTCTGAGGTGTGTCTGTACTTGGGTTAATTTCAGGAACTGAGAGAGTGAAGCTACTTGTTCATTAAACAAATGATTAGCGTGGGACAGACCTTGTTCTAGAAGCCGAGGGAGCAGCCTTGTACCAAACACCTCTCTGCCTGCAAAATGCACACTGTTGCAAAGCAGAGCTTGTGACAGAAGCTGGGCTCCTCGGAGACAGGAGCCACGCACGGGATTCTGAACGATCTGCGTCCCAAGCCCCAAGCTGTGTGTGCTCCCATACTCCTGAAGCTTTGGACCAGCTTTGTCACCTCTAAATCGCTCCCTCATCTCTCAATCTTTCCAACCCCCACATGCTTTTACTTTGAAACAGACTCTGCCCCTCCTGACTTCCTAGAGTGCTCCCCTGAAGGCTTTCAAGTCTTAGCCACAAGGGCTGTTTTACAACCTGCTTCCTAACAGTGCAGCCTATAATTAATGGCTGCTTCACACTCAGGGCACAAATTAGTTCAGCAAACTCCAGATTACCTGCGCTGCCTTGGAATGCCAAGCCTTGTTTTTAAACTGTCTCACAGCTGATTCAGGTCCTGCTGTCTAACCACTAACCTGCCGTCCATGCTTTCTTGCCGTACTCATAGCACTTCAGCTTATGACCAAGTTCTTGTTTTACTAGTGGTATGGCACAGAGGGAAAACCCAATCCGAAAAACTAAGTCCCAAAGCAAATATAAGCAAAGGATAAGTGGTTTTGTTTTTAATCCTCACTCCAGGATACAGCTTTTATGGTGTGGTGGGGGGAGAGTGAAACATTGATCTGCTTCATGTGACCGGCCAAGGACAGAACCCACAACTCAGGCGTGTGCCCTGACCAGGGATTCAACCAGAAACCTTGTGGTGTGTGGGGTGATGCTCCTACCAACTTAGCCACCCAGCCAGGCTCCTAGCCACCCAGCCAGGGCAAGTGTGTGTTTTTAAAAGACTGCCCAGCTGTGATCTCCCTTTAGATCAGGGGTCCCCAACCCCCAGTTACCCACCCCTGGCCTTTTAGGAGCCAGACCACACACAGGAGGTGAGCAGCGGGTTAGTTAGCAAAGCTTCATCTGTACTTACAGCTGCTCCACGTCACTTCCATTACTGCCTGAGCTCTGCCTCCTGTCAGATCAGCAGTGGCACTGGATTCCCATAGGAGAATCTATGCACTCAGTCATCCCCAAACCACCTCACCCTGGGTGTGTAGAAAATTTGGTTTTCACAAGACGGGTCCCTGATGTCCAAAAGGTTGGGGACTGCTGCTTTAGACGACTTTCAGGTACTTTTTCCTTCTCAATATCCCAAGGCAACCAACCACCTTGTTTTTACTTCTTCACTGGGACTCTAGCCATTATGACCTATTACTAGGTTCAATACCAGAGGCTCATTAGGGTATGTGTCTAAAATGAAGGTAACAGTATCCACTTAGTTGTACAAAACTGAAGAGGAGAATGAGCCATCTCTGCTGTCCACATCTTGGGGCTGGGCTTCTTCAGCCAGAGCCTTAGCCCCAGACCTGTCTGGGGCCAGTGGGTATTAAGCTAGTTTTGCATTTTCCACCAGCTGTTTGGTGTCCTGCAGGTACGATGAAGCTGTAATGCCCACTGGGAACAGAAATAGAACTGGTGGGTGGGGGTTGCAGTACAAACAGGACCAATTACAATCCTCCAGGGCACTAACTCACCTTCAGGACTGGTCCACCTACACACGTCTCACTCTGAGGGAACAGCGAACAGCGTGTGGCCTGCTGAACTATCTCCCCAAGTGCGATCTGCTTGGCGTGTGGCTAGCAAAGCTCGGCTGTGGGCTGCTTCCCCTTTTTACAATTATTCACCCTGCCTGTGGGCTGCTGAACTACTAAGGAGAAGTTCAGAGAGCGAGCATATCACTGGCGTGGGAAGACAAAAAATCAGATATTGCGTTGCACAGAACATTGCATATGGAACAGAGATTTTGGAAGGGAAGGGGAGTTTTAGGTAGTGTGCTCCAACCTACGGGCTTTCTGCCATCTAAATTGTTACCAGACTTGGGGGTGGCTGGTGAGACGGCCTACAAATGACAGCCAACTTTGGGGAATCCCTGGTCCCCAAGCATTAAGCACTCTTCCTCGTGACTCCAAATAAGCTGCCTCTTCCCTCCCTCCCCCACTTCCATCCACCCTAGACTCCCTTTCTAGACGAACGTGGCCAAGGATTCTGAACAACCTACTACCACTGAACGTCCCAGACGCAAACCAGGGTTCCTGGGCGCCCAGGATGTCCCTGAGGATGCAGGAGGGAAGGGGAAGTGCTTGGGTGTCGTTCGGTATTTCCAGCCGGCTCTGCCATCTTCTAGATCTTTGACTTGAGTCAAGTCACTAACCGGCTCTGAGACTGCCTCCTCGTCTGTCAAAAGGGGATAATGCACTGGCGTGGCTGGTGGCTGTGCAGGTGCTAAGAGGCGCCCTCCTCCCCCTCGAATCTTTTCCTGCACAGCGTCCCTGGGTGGTGCGCCCGGGAGTCTTGGGGGCCCCAGGGCTCCTCCCAGCTCGGCCGCTGGGCAGGACCACTCACCGCCTGAACGCTTCCTGAAGGAGGGCGCAGGAAGGGCCGGCCTTGGAAGAGGGATGGTGGGCGATATGGAAGTTCTCCGGGGAGAGGTACAGCAGGCGCGAGGTCATCTGCACCGAGAGCGGCATGGGCCACAGAGCCGGACCCTGCGCAGCAAAGGTGTTGGGGACCTGCTCGGACTGCAGCGCTAGCAAAGCCAGCGCTGCCAGCAGCCCGTGCAGCTCCATGGCCCCTAAGGTGCTCCCAACCTGGGCCCACCCGGGTCTGCCCCGCTGTATTTGACTCCCCGGCTCAGCCCCGGAGGAGGACCCGACTCCGCCTACAGGGGGGTGGGACCCAGGAGACTGCCGGCCCCGCCGCCACCTCCACCGCCTTTCCACCCAGCCCAAACCCCGCCTAGTGTTCAGGTCCTAGCCCCTGTTTGCACTGCCTCAGGGAAACTGCAGAACTCAAGCCAGGAATAGCCCGTTTACCCCTGCCCCCACAAACACCAGATCACTGAGATGGTGATTTCGTTTATTTGTCCATAAATCTAAGCTTTGCCATATGGGGGGATTCAGCTCTAATTAATAGAACTTCCCAGGGCAGAGTTTTGAACAGGTGGGAGGTTGTAAAATTACGCAGAAGAAATTCCGTGAGCAATATCTTGGGGGTAGGCAGGGGGTGGGGGCCACGGGTACAGGACTTTTTAGAACTTGGAAGTGACACCGTGGATCAAATAAATAGGCAGATGATAAAAAAGGGAACATATTTGTAATGAGGGATTAATACTGTCAGTATAATTTTCAAAAACAGTTAAGAACATGACGCTATTACAAAATAGAATGAAAACCTGTCAACGATTTTATTCAACTCATTAATTAGGCAATTATAATGATAAGTGTGGTTTAAAGGCAATTTAATAAAGCACAGTTAGAATAAGATGGCTAAATAGTTCAAAATTCGGTAGTTTCACAGAGTGACTCAGCCCTATGTATCTGAGCCTGGGCACTCCCATCTCAACTCCAGGAAAAATGAATTCCCAAGAGCAACTTAAGTATTTATTTGTGATAGGCCTTTCTATATATAACATTTAGAGATAAGTAGCAGATTTACAAGCAAGCAGGAACAATGTCATTGAATCAAATGCAGCAGGAATTACAAAGTTCTCTCTCCCTCTTTTCTTCCCCCTTTCCTCTCCCTCCTTCCCTTTCCTTTCCTCTCCATATATATCTCTACCTTTCAGCTCAGGGTTTTTTGTTTGTTTAGTTGATTGGTTTTGGCTTTGGTCTTGGTTTTGTACTGGCTTCATTCTCAGACCCTTTCTTCGTTAGGACACCCTGGGTATCAAGGACAGCCCCTGGAGAAAGCTGCCCCTCACTCCTCCCTGTGGGTCCTAGGGAAGGGAGCCGACTCAAAGGCTGGATTTCACACCCACCCCTAGGATGGAGCTAGAGAAGTCAGATGACCACTGTGAACTAGAGATCCCAGCTTTCCCCAAAGAAGAGGCATTCTGCTTCCCAAGAAAGAGAAAGGGGTGTTAGGCCAAAACCACAGGTGACTGCAGTTATTATTCTGAAAATGTTGATGAGAAGCTGCAAGAAAAGACTTCGGAGAAACTTTATGGGGCACGCTTCGAGTTCTATAAAAGCAAGCCTCGGTGTCACACTATTCTTCCCTCTTCGTGGAATTAATACAGATTTTAACTGCAGAATCCTTTACTGCCAGTTTTTTTGCTATTTATTGAAGGCTAACACAGCACAGCGTTTCCAAGATTCAATCTCCAGTTCCTATTGTTGAAATTACCGTGTTAAATGACGACTTCACCTCGTGTGTTAGTTACCTACTGCTGTGGAAAAGATTACTCCAAAACTTAGGAGCTTAAACCAGCAACAAATAATAAATTATAAAATAATCAATATCACAGTTTCTGTGGATCGGGGATTCAGGAGTCTTAGCTGGGTAGTTCTGACTCAGTCAAGAGGTTGTGTAATGGGGTACAGTGTGGACGTCCAGCAAAATAGCCGAGCATATTCCCCACAAACCAATTGGGGGGAAGGGAGGAGTGGATGATACGTTGTTAAGATACCTTCATAAAAATGGCAAGTTAATAGCTGTGCTGCCGCACTGGGCAACGAACGGTGCGTGTGACTTTAAGAGTGTCTAGTGACTCGTGACAGAGCCAGGGGAAGCAGATGTCCCTGTGTCACAGAGAGCTCTTGCCCTGACTCAAGATGGCGGCCAGAAGAAGATAAAGGATACTGGGCAACTGGCAAAAGGAGCACATCATACAAAGGGCCAGATGTGAGGTCACATAGGAAGTTCTGAGCCGCCGAGCATTTACAATAAGGGCAGACTGAAAGAGAAGGGGATTCCACCCTGAGGTCTGAAAGAGAGGAGGGAGAATCTCTGAAGGAGGAAAGGGTGTCAGGAGAGACCTGATGGGCGACATGGCCCTGCCTCACCGAGCGCAGATCCGTGGGAGATGCTTAGAGCCGAACCGTGGCTGGGAACGCTGAGCTGCAGACTTCTGCTTCTCTGAAGGACGCACGGAGAAGCCATTCTCTTGGGACATGTACCTCACTGGACTCCACTGTGACCCAGTGCAACACGACACGTGTTTCCCTGAGCCTACACGGAGGCTGAGGACACCCCAGATGCTGAGGGAGAGAGCGGCTGCGAGAGGATGGAGACTCTGAAACCCACAGGGCACCTTCCAGAGAGGGTGCAGATCTGTTCGTGTGACTGGCTTAAGGACAGATAAGGACATGGCGGACTTCTGGGCATGGTTTTGGCTTGTAGTCGTTTGGGGAGCAGGGGAGATGCTGGGTCTTGTGGGAAAGGAGGGCTCTGAGCAGGAGTGCTGTTCGCCTCCTGAGATTGGAACCCTGGAAGGAAAAACCTGTGTCCTCCAACACTAATGTTGGGTTATGTATCAGGGCGCCATATGGCTGAGCCCCAGTTTGCTTGGCTACAGTGTCAGTCGCCTGAAGGATTTTTTTTTGAAAGCTTGGCTACTGCTGGAGGATCTGATTCTAAGGTAATTTTCTCCCTGTTGGCAAGACACCTGAGTTTTTTGCTGGCCGTTGGCTGAACCCCTCAGTTACTTGCCATATGTGCCTCTCTACACAGCTACTTGTGGATACTCACAGCGTGGCAGCTGGCTTCTTTGGGCAAGAGAAAACAGAGCGCATACAAAGAGGAAGAGGCCAGGATGTCTATATCACTTAATCTTGTTAGTGACACTTCTGCCTTTTATCCATTAAAAAGTCACTAAATATAGCCCACATTCAAGGGAAGGAAAATTAGGCTTCAACTTTTGAAGGGAAGAGTCCACTCTCTGACCACAAATTGTTTTTATTACTCCCATGTGCAAAATACATTCCCTTCCTCTCAAGAACCCCAAAGTCTCATATCTTTAGAACACTGGCTCGAGATCTGGAACGTTGGCATCTAAATTAGCTCTTGGTATGCATGCGGGTCCTTAGATCTATCCTTAAGTATCCTTCAGTAAAATTCTCCTAATTTGAAGACCTGTGAATAAAGAGACAAGTGTTCTGCCCCCACTCATGTAAAATATGACATGGGACAGACATAAGGTAACCACTGCAGTCGGTTCTATTCCAAAAGGGGGTGAAGGGTCTGTAGCAACTGCAGGATGTAGCCAGGCGAGTGCTGGAAGTTCCTTGATCGGGTTACAAGGCCTGAAAATAATCTCGGTGGCTCTCCGGGCTTTTGGTTCTGCCTTCTGATTCATCTTTTCTTCATGAAAAGTGATACGTGTGTGCAGATGAGTAGATTTCTCAGTCTGCTTTCTTCTTGTAGGATTTTGGGGCTGCAAAGACCTTTTTTAATGCGGCACTCTCCTTATCCCTTTCAGTTCTAACCGGCAGTGTTTCTGCTGATATAATTCCGACAAACACTGTCGACTCCATGTGCATCTCACTGAGGTTCATGCCACTAGACAAACGCCACACTCACCAGTCTCTTCAAGGCATCTCGGGCTTCTGTTAAGGGATAACGCCCTTAGAAACCCTTCAGTTTAAGTGCAAGGGTCTGTCAGGAAGACCCTTCAAATTCTCAGGTGACCTGTCTCACTGACAGATGCTCTGAGGCACTGCAATAGATCTTCCTATGGGAAGGTCTTATGGGATTTTACACTCACAACCTTGGTTTCATGTTTAGACGATGTTTTCCTGGGCTTGATCTTGGCCTGAAAGCCCAGTCTTCATTTTAGTGTCATGTGCTGCTTAGAGAGTCTGGACATTTTTAGAAACAAGTCATGGCTCCTTTATGTTCAACAGCCCTTCCTCTTGCTGATCTCGCTCCTTTCACATTTTAATAGAGGAGAAAGATGAAGCTAGGAGGCACCCTGACGTCCTAGCTGGAAATCCTAGTTAGACCACTCATTTATTAGGTGGGCACGGCTTGTCCTTTCTGCGTTGCTGCTGGCCGTTGTGTGGCTAACATTTCTGCCGGGACGCAACACGGATCTCGTGTCCTCTGGTTTCCAGTGAGGTTTTCCTCACTGTCCTTTAACTGAGCTTCCTCAAGGCTGTGCTTCTGCAGCTCTCAAGGTACTTGCTGCTTTCACTAACCCTGTCTTCAGAGTCATTGCAGCCTGTCTATTGCCTGAGGCCAAAGTCACAGCCACTTTGCTCGTGTTTGGTATAGCAGCACCCCACTTCCGGGTATCAAAATTGCTGTTTATTATCTGTCGCTGTGTAACAGTCGACAAACACTTAAAGGAGGTGTGCAGTTAAAATTTTGATAGGTAGCGCCAAATTTCCCTCCAAAGCGGGTAAACCTGTACGAGTGTCCTCTTTTCATAATCCATCTCAATATTAATTCATCTTTCTCAATTTGGTAGGGTGTTGTAATTTGTACTTAATTACTTCTGAGGTCAAATAAAATGAGCATTGTATATCTTCTAGTGAGAGCCTCTTTATATCTGTCGGGTTGTTTTCTTTCTGTAATGATTTGTTTGGGTGATTTTTAAATTGTAGGTAGTAACCTGTCCTGTATATTGCAAATATTTGCTCGTAGGCCATCGGCTTTCTTTTATCTTTATTTACCTGGTGTGTGTCTTACAGTGGTTTTAACTTCTTTTGAGACCTAATTTGTGAATCTTCCTTTTATGGCTTTAGGATTTATCTTGATTAGGATTCAAATAAAATAAAAACTCTCCTTTTCTATCTAATCCTTGTATAGTTTTGTTTCTGAGTTGCACGCTTTACTCCAGCTGATGTTGACTTTTGTGCATAGCTAAGGGAAGGCTGTGAGGAAAGAGTGGAATTAGGGGACGTATAAAATGGAGTCACTT